TTTTTTTTGGCCTTTGTGTTTCAGGAGAGTTACGTTCCCTACAGGAACTCGAAGCTCACCTACCTCCTGCAGGGATGTTTGGGGGGAAACAGCAAAACGTGAGTTTGTTGACATCACAAATCTTTATAATGACGATACATAAAACTGAAGGAATTAATCCCCAATAAATATTCAACTGAGAGTTTGATCTCATCACTTCAGATTGTGACTGTTTGTTTATTCTTTGGCGCTAATTTTGGATGTCTTTATCTCCAGCTTGATGTTTGTTAACATCGCCCCAGAGCCCGACAGCTTTGGGGAAACTCTGAACTCATTGAGGTTTGCCAGCAAGGTCAGTGCAGCCTTGTTTCCAGTGTTCATTGGACAGAGTACATTAATGATGTCCTTACATTAGCTGTTTATGGTAAACCAAAGCCATACTCCATATCCATTTTAATACCTTGGTATGTAATTCATACTCTCGTTTTGTCTGAAGAGTAGGGATGTTCCTGGCGTCTTATTTACTAGTCGACTAATCGAGGGGGAAATAATTAGACTGACCAACTAAAGTAAAACTAAGGAACATTCAGATATTGAGTTAATTTTCAGAACTGCTTAATAGAAACTGTCAAACTAGACGCAGAGGTATCTTAAACCATTTATCACATTCTGTTAAATACAAATGAAAATGCGTTACTACAAAAGATGTTCTATTAAAATATGACAATCGTTTGAGAATCTAAAAGTACGACTGAGTGTGGCGCGACTGATTCTGGCTGCTGAAAATTAATGACAACCTTTTCAATAAAAGCAGAAATTTAGTAACAAAGTAACACATTATACAGCCGTTTTCTAGTCAGGTTGTGGGGGCAGCAGGAAGGACCACTCCTGACCACAGCTGATAGATGTAAACTGGCTAGCATGACCAAAGATGCTGGGGCCTCCTCCTGGTAGGACGTGCCCAGCTGGAACCTCCTGGGCAAGGTGGCTGTCACCTTTTGATGTGAAGGAGTAGTGACTCTACTCTGAGCCCCTCCCCCATTGACTTAACTGCTCCCCTAAAGGAGAGGTTTTCCACCTTTGAGAAGAGTAATTTCCTCTGCGTGTATCTACGATCTCAGTGTTAACAAGAAGATCAGGGTAGATTAATAGATTTATGGAGTTTCTCAACAACAGTGCGCCATCTGGTGGCAGATCGCTGCCTAACATTTAGAACACAATGTACCAACATTTGGCATCAATTAAAATTTTAACATTTAGATTGAATGACTAGTAAGTCTGATACAGACCTAGTGACAATTAGTCGACTAGTCACATATAAATCCCTGATAGAGCCCACAGAAGTGGCCTGCACCATGTGCGTGGCTTGCTTTGCAGTTTAACCACCAAAACACTCGTCTGCAGTGGAATTTCTTTGAGCTAATCGATTCATTTATTCATTTTTTCTTCTAATTAATGTGGAAAATGGTGGCAAAAGTGGATGAAATGAGTGATTCCTAAAGTTACATGTCAGTTTACAGCATAGGGATTAAGTTTACAGTATAAATACCACTGAAGTGTACAAGGATTTGAAGTTTCACTGTAACTTTAACATTTTTGACAATTTTGTTTTGTTTTCTCCCCCGCAGGTGAACGACTGCGTCATCGGGACAGCGACTGCCAACAAAAAGTAGAAATTATTTTAAAAAAATCCTGAGTTTTCTACTTTTAGGTTCATCTCAGGTTTCCACGCTCGCTGAGTTTGACATGCTCACGGAGTATCTATACATGTAAAAATGTCATTTCTTCTAATTAGTACTTCAAACAACTTGTCTGAATCTAAAATGCTTCAAACCTTCCATATATCTGTACTTGTGTGTAGTGATGCTAGCTTCACCACAAAAGAAGTTGCCGTGCATTTCAATAAAAAGAAAAAAGGAAAAAAAAATTGATTTCACTGCAGATTTCACACATTTAAGCTTTTCATTGGGCCGTTCTTGACTATATTTTATATTTGTGCTCTGAAAGCAGGGCGTCAGTGTTTAGTGTTTTTTCAAAGCAGCTGTTTTAGCATGAAGTGAGAGGTAAACTCAGAAATTACTGATTTTTGATTAATGTAACTCTTGTGTTTACCTGCTGTTGGAAGTGAATGACGGTAACATTGAGTGTTTTCACCAATGTTAGATTATGTTTGTATATACTGTATAATGGCTATTTTACAAGTAGTATGTTTCGTGGGAATTAAATGTTTATTTTTGACATGTACGCCATTACATTTACTCTACAAATAAAACCACATTTAAAGGCTGTTGCGTTTTATTGCCTTTTTCTTTCCTTTTCTTTCTTAAAGTTATGAAGGCATCTTGGATTGCCATTCACTGCTTTGAATGCACAGACTGGTCTTAATGTGGATCGTTGTAATCTTCAGTATTGATATTTGTAAATGTTAACTATGAGGATTTTTTTTTTTTTTTTTTTTTTTTTTTTTTTT